TTTATGAAGTGAAGGATCGAAAGATTTCCCGTGAGAGAAATGAGACCTTCTCAATCTGAAGACGATCTTTGTTTCGAAGTTTTGAGAATGGTCTTAAACATTTCATTTTTTCCTTATTATCGCTTTTTTTTTTGGCCAGACATACTCTTTTTACAAGCAAAATAGGGTGCACTCACATATAAAAAAGTTGGTCATGCGTAGTCGCCTCTACTGCTGTTCCAAATTATGTCTTTTGCTGCTGCTCCAATAAAAATTGTTCTCAAACAAAACTCATAAAAGGAGACTGAGATCTTGAGACGATTTGTCAAGTCGCTAATTTCCCAATTCTCAAAACTACTATCCTCGGTCTTGGAATCACTTTTACTCAAAAGAAGAGAGTAGACGAAGGATTAAGATAGGAGAACAATAGAAAGTGAAAGAAGGAAGTCAGAGTAGGGAAATTTTGAACAACTACAAGTAAAAATTCATGAAGCGGTCAATCATAAGAGCTCAATGTTATTTTATTACTTTCAAAGTTCTTAGGGCAACACTAGGTGGATAATTTTGGACATTTGCCACGCAATTAGATGTGGCAGGCTTGGTAAAAGGCATTTATGGTAAATAGGCAAATATGGATATTCATCACAAAAATTGTATGTGACGGGCTGAGCAAATGATTTTTTTTTGCAGTAAATGGTCAACTCTCAATGTTAACTATATTTACCATATATCGATAGGCTAGGCTCAAGGTAAATTAGGCTTAAAGCAGGCTAGGCTCAAAGTTTTAAGAGAGTGAGTAATTTTGGATTCTCACCTGAAAAAGGCATCATTGCCCCAGTATGATGGTTTATTGGTTTGCACATGAGAAGAAATACGGAGGACCAAGATAAAATTGGTTTGAGTTACGGATTTAGCCCGACAACAAAGTCCAGAAAAATGGTTGAGTTTTGAAAAATATATCTCATTGAGGACCTTGAAGGCATTCGCATTTCCATTTTTTCCATTTTTCATTTCTTTTTTCACTTTTTTTTTTGTTTCCTCCTAGTGACTTACAAATATTGGTTTATGATTCTTGCTAAGGTCTCCACTAACAAGAATTATAAGAGTAGACCATCCAAAAATTTCATTTTTATCGAGAGCCTTTTCAAAGAAAACATTTTTTTTGTTTTTTTTTGTTCTTTTATTTTTCAACCAATGATATGATATGAGTGATGCATGAATGAATGTATGACTTTGATTTTATTTTTTTTTTAAGAAAAATAGCTCAATTTTCACACACTCACATTCTTTTTTACAAGTACTTAGCTCATGGGTGACTAAAGCTTCATTGCTGTTTTAACACTAGCAAACAATCTCAAAGATGACTTCAAAGAAGAAATAAACTTTATTGAGAATGCAAAGCAATAGGTTAACATTGATTTTGATAATCTTGTACACTTATGATTCTAGTGCTTCATGTGTTGACCATCTTCCTTTGAAAACTTTAGCCATCCTGCCTTCATTAGAACTTGCACTTTATGCTTTAGTGAAGTACAGTTCTCAGTTGAATAACCTACAGCTCCTGCATGGTAATCACAGTGGACTTGCGGGTCGTACCACTTTGGATAAGGTGGCTGCAATGGTTCTACAGGTACCGGAGCTAGTAGATGACTTTGAAATAATTGGGATAACAACTCAGTATAGGATATTGGGATCGAATGAAAGCTCTCTCGCTTTAGTTGTCTCCGACTACTATGATTGTTAGGTAATGTTTGTGGATCATTCTGCAGAGTCAATGAGTTCATGGGGACCGTAGAAGGACTGTATGCCACGAATCCTTGTTGGTACTTCCCTTTGCGCTTC